TTCTTGGTACTGACCAAGAGGAACGTGGGCTCTGGGTACGAGATTGCTGAGGGAATAGCAAAATAAATAATAATGATAATTAATAGTAAAATTTACTGATGATCCTGTGACCCTCCCCCTCAATAAGAAAGTTTACATTTTTACCGATGACCATTCCCCTTTGAAGCCCCAAGCCACCGGGCCCCAATACCTTCTCAAGTGGGGTGGGAATGGTAGGAACAAGTTTTTCTAGCAATTGGTCTCCCTGTGGTATACYTTTATGATCACACCTACCAACATCAGTTTCCAAAATGGCAACCACACGAGAAGTAGTTGAGAAACGTGTCGAAACCAGGAYGAAAACTGAAGTCCGCCATCACGCAGAGACGAGAATTTACCGCGAATACTGTGGATGCTGTGACTTGCTTTGGATCGTCACCACAATGGAAGGATTGCTCAAACTAACCCAGTTCTTTACGACCTTTCTTACTTTCGTTATCCTCACAGCTCATGAAGAAAGTGCCAGAGCTTATTTCGAGTTTCTGATATTTGTTGGWACTACAGCATGGATATTTGTTATCCTGCATATCGTCTTGAAGATGACACACATCTACGAGAAGCTACCATATGTATTGATTCAGCCAAAAGTRTCCCTTTCTTTGCTCTTGATTAGCGTCATCTCATTTCTTGTCGCAACCTCTGTGGCTCTTGGGTACGCTTTTAGGAGAGGTGACGTGATAGCTGCCTGTAGCTTTGGATATATATCTATGTTCCTATTCCTTATCGAGCTGATAATGCTATTTATCCGCTATAGACGCGAGCCAGTACAAAGGGAAACACCGAGGAACGAAGACGTCAAACCCGAGGAGTTTGCATACTGAACGTACCATCCAGTAAACCATGCCATTTTTGACATCATCCTATAAGTCTTAGCTTAATTTGTGAGGTTTTTCAAGTCGAAAGCCTTAAAGGGAAAAATCCATTTTTGTTTTTTTAAGGAATAGCGTGACGAGTGGGTCATATCGTGGGAATGTTGCCAACAATTTCATGGGCTATGCCATTAATCATCAGACTTTATAATCATTAGAACATAGTACTGTGACACTTTCATTCACTAACTTCTTGGCGCAGCTTGTACCATACATTTGCATCAACATGCTTGGAAGATCTTCCCTGGAACTATTTACCATGAAAGTGGGTCCAAAAATATTTTATAAAAGCAATATAAAACAGCATTTTATGTGTCTGTAGTGTGATAAAACACTTTGGGAGCTGTAGAACACTCAAAAATCAAGAGAAACACTCGTCTATGCCTCATGTTTCTAAAGCTTGCTTCTCTCATACTCTACAGCATGTTTATATTACAGTACAGAGACATGAGCCCAGGTTATATATTCGTTAGTTGTGGGACGATAAGGTAAATTGTAGTGGTATAATGTCATGTTAGGGAAAAATGAAGTTACCCCTCTAAACCACAGCCCTCCGCAATAAAAATGTACCTTCCCTTAGCTAGCTTTGATTTAGAGTGACTGCCACAGGAAAGTACCAGAGTGATAGTAAACAAACTATGGAACCAAGAGTAAAATGGATAATCCTACAATTTGTAGGAAAGTGGAAAAAAGATGAATGAAAAAGCGTTTACTTTTACACTGAGTACCATTATGGCATGAAATGTCAAAATCATTACTCTGTTTCATTTAGCTGCTATGTTGTCTATATGTTGTATTAAAATAATCCAGACAAAAAATTATTGTTGGGTTGCCTGTGGCAGCCCAGTTGTTAAATACCTTTTTTTTTTTTTTTTGTAGTTTCCTCGCGAAATGTGCATTCTTGTGCAAGAGTACCCATGTATGGATTTAAATGATGTGTTCATAGATAAATGTCGCATAGATTGGCTTAGCAGCTGAGGATGTAATTCCGGGCTTTAGAAGTAATATAATTGAGCAGTAAAAGATTTCTAGGATTGTAATTCAGATRTTTATTAATATTAATACAGTCAGCAGTATTCTGGCTTCAATCGTGTAGGTTAGTAGAGCCTAAAGGAAAATACGCTTTCAGTACTGAAATGGCACATGGGAAATGACATAACTATATTATAATTTATTCATTTGCGCCATCCATGCAGTCGGTTTAGAATGCCAAACACGTATTCAGAAGACCTGGGTTTGAGAATGGATGATGCCACAGGTCACCGGTCACAGAATGCATCTAATTAACATACTTCCCATGTGCCATTTCAGCCGCTTCTATGTTCTATGTTTCTGAACCCGACAACGATTCTTCAATTGAGTATATGCCTTATTGACTAGAGACTCGGCTTTTATGTTCTATGTTTCTGAACCCGACAACAATTCTTCAATTGAGTGTATACATAAACATATTGTTAAATACTTAGAGGTAATAGAGCTGATAACTTTGGCTGTAAGTACTTTTTGCCAAGTTTTGAACCTTTTACTATGCATTGTGGACAGTTTAACCACCACTTGAAAGAGAATGAGATTCAAAGACAAACCCAGGAATGCGAATATGTTTCAATAGAAAATATATTTTACACTGTTATCCCTAGACTACCTCCTACTTTCTTCTAAATTGTTATTTATTTATGATTTACGATATATATGCTCTCTTTTTTTGCAGAAAATACGATAATCTTTACTTCCGGTCAGCCCTTCCGGTTAGTTTCAAGAGATGACATAATTTTCTTACCCTACCCCACCCCTACTATGGCGCATTGTGCGCGGGGAATCAAACGTCTGCGCATCCTCTGGTCACAAAAGACATCGAAGACAAAATGGCTCCCTATGAAGAAGACGGAGGAGAAAGGCCAAATGATGATCGTTTGATCAAAATAAACTTTGAATGGGTAAAGGTAGTTCTTGGGCAGATTGCTATAGCAGAATTGGTCCTAACATTTCTCTGTGGCTGTTGTTCGTCGTCGGTTTCGTGGTACATAAGTTCAGGTTGTGGCGGCAAGATTGGATTCCTCGACTTCGTAGCCTGGACTGCCTTTCTAAATATTCTTATCGACCTTATTATTCACACCTTGGGTTTGTGGGAGCGTTTGTTGTGGATCTTTCGCCACCCAGCCGTTCACTTTGTACTATGCTGCTTAGCTGTCTTAGGCTTTTTGATCGGATCTTCCTTGGTCGCTTCTTGTTCGAAGGATAACGGGGTCTACAATCCTGGTGCTGGTGTAGCTGCTTCTATATTTGGTTACATTTGTCTTGTTCTCTTTGGTGTTGAAGCCTACTTGCACTTCATGAAGTACAGGAACATGGAGTCTGAGGGAAGAAGGCAGACGGGTTCTGAGGACGCTAAAGCAGATGTGATTTGAAAACATATTAAAGATGCTCCAGAAAGTATGATTTCTAGAAGGTGTGCTTGAATATGGTGGTTTCTTAAATTGGCATCAGCAGGAATAAAGAAAGTTAAGGAGAATCAGAGAACAAATAGTTTAACAAATATAATCATTGACATTTATATAATATATTAGAGTGATAAATAACTGCAAAAGTTTTCTTAACTACTTAAAACTGAATTAATTCYGTTTAAAACTGATTCGCTGTTATCCATTATTCATGGGTTGTTTTAGTAAGATCTTTTTTGGGAAGTTGTGTAATGTATAATATGAACGTTAATAGCCTGAGAAAGATGTAAGGTTTATGTACTTTACAATTCATTATAAGTTTATTCAAATAAACAGAGTTTGTAGACAAAAGATGGATCTTTTTTGTGACTAAGTTGTTTGAACACCTATACACATGAACACTTCTAGACGTTTTCTAATATTTTGCTTTGATTACATAGTGTTGTTTGGTAATATGCTTTTTTTGCATATAAAACTACTTGGGGATATTTCTCTAATAATAACAATAAAACACAAGTTTATAGTATATTATAATAGAGTGCATTTAGTTACACTGTCTAATGGTTAGATAAATTTATCGAACTTAGATAAATATTCAGTTGATGTTATCTAAGAGTAAATATGCCACAAAGCAATGGTCATGCGAATCTGGGCGTTTAAATTCATACTGTTGAATAGTTAGATAAATTTATCTAACATAGAAAACTATTCATCTTGATAAGTAGTTGCTTGGAGAAGCATAATACTAAAAAGGACATTTATAGGATTAACATATAGTTTTTGCTTCACGACGTTTTGGTGTCATCATGACTCCATTATGCAACTATTCATCATTATAAAAAAAACCTGTCATAAATCTCACGTTCTGATTGGTTGGGAGTGTAGCTTTATAAGAGCACAGAGATGTGCATGCACTTTCAGTTCCATCATTCCTATTTATTTTTTCACAAAGTTGTGAAATGCCCATTGGCCCTCTTCTTCAGTCGTTTCATACAAGTCTCATGATTTACCTATTACGCAAGTTCGTATCTAAAATAACATTTATTTTAGTTATTGTGATTTGTGTTTCATAAAAGAAATTTAAAAAACCTGCTTGCTGTGTTGTGTGGAGTTACAAAGCATTTGGCAGAACACTCAAGAAGGTAGGTGTCTTGCTTCTAACAATTCATTCATGTTCTGCCAGCCCCCCTGCCCCCTACCCCCCTTCAACTTTATTATTAAAAGCGTCTGTTTAAACATTCAGCTATTGCTATTATTGTCCTTATATATTGGAATAGGAAAAGAGTTTTAGAATAAGCAATAAGAAAAAGTAGTCCACATCAGTCTTCATACAAAATGTATAGTATTTAGATGGGAAAGAATGGGAAATAAAGATTTTGCAGAACTATTATCAATTTGCCAGTGATTTTTGCTATTGCAATTAATTTGTGACTTTATTGCAAATTGAAATATGTCCTTTATTCATGTGGTCAGTTTTGTTTCTAAAATGCTGAAATATGATACTCTCTTGAATCAGTTGACTGTTTCATTCGCGATGGTATTCCTGTGGATAATTTGTCAGCGGTGAAGTGGGCACATATATTTCATGATCGTAACACAGTCGGTAGGCAGAGAGAACGGAGATCGAAAGAAACCTTCAAAGTTTCTCTACTTTGGTTCAAAATGTCAGCATTTTTGTACTCACCCATTGGGAATATCCGTGTTATTCCAGCCTCTGATCATTGGCAAACACAAGACTTATTAACAGTGTTATCAGAAGGCAGCGAGGTATCGTATTTTGCGAAAATTCTTATACAAATCATTGGTTGTGTTTTGGTAATTTGGTCTACTTTTAGTTTGTAAATTAGAAATAAATTTGCCTTTGTCGGAGAATATTTATTCTATAGTTTATATTTCTTTATATATATGAGGAAATATAGACTCATCTTTTGTGTAATAATGATATGGTTATACCGCATATTGCAGGCAGTACATCCAGACAGTGTTTATATCTTGCACAATGGACGTTTATTGCCCCCATGTAGCAACAACACCCTGACCATATCTACGAATGACGTAGTTAGGGTTAATTATCGTTTACCTGGAGGTAAAGGTGGTTTTGGGTCGATGTTGAGAGCTATTGGTGCACAGATAGAAAAGACAACAAGTAGAGAGGCATGTCGAGACCTGAGCGGAAGGAGAATGAGGGACGTCAATGATGAAAAAAAGTAAGTTTGGCAGTAAGCTATCATCAGTTCTTATTTTCCTTTATTATTACCCCTGGCATAATCAATTGAATGATTCGGAAATCCAAATCAATTGAACACAATTACATGATTTAATTCAATTGCATTCAGCAATTGAACGAAACAATAAAATCGATTGTTTGATTTTTTCTGATTGATTACGTCCAGTATTACCAGGTATATTCCAAGGGATGTAATAAAGGGTTACATTTTCAGTCAAATGTTTTAACATTTCAAACATCATTTCCATGAGAATAAGATTTTCTACTGACACAATGCTGGTGAACAAACAATTAATTCCTAAGGGAGTGACAAAAAATCTCAAATGATAGAATGTACCCAAGGGGGATTTTTTCTTCATTAGAAAATTCACCCTGTGTAGGGGCGTATCCAGGATTTTGCCTTAGAGGGGGGGGGGGAGTCAAGCATCATTTGACTAAGGGATGGGGGGCTGGGCTTCCTTGGTCCCCCTGGTTTACGTCTCTGCGGTGATGTCTTGAAACATTATGAAACAAGTTTCATGAAGGATTTTCTCATTGTAACAGAATGAATAAATGATGATAATCATCTCATGGTCCAACAATGCCATGATTTTGACTGACATAAGTGGTTTTTATTTTGTCCTAGAATCACAGAGTGGGTTGCAAAACAGGCTGACAGAGAACGTGAATTAGCAAGACAAAAACAGGAAAGACTGGAAAAAAGAAGAGCTGGACCAAAGCACAACTTTGATGACAGAACCTACACAATGCAGATTCAGGAGAATTTAGAGAAAATAGATGATGCACTGAAACAAGGTATTGATAAAAAACACTTAGGAACCTTAATTTGATCTATGCGATAAATGAAATCAAATTGTTCTCTCCTATGCCATAATTAATGTCTTAACATATTCTTCTTAGGTTTGAAGGCTTCTACGTCTGCATCAGGGTTGGAAGTGGGGGTAAAAAGAGCAAGCACAATAAGTGGTGATGCTCCTAAAAAGCGAAAAATATGGTAAGCTTAAAATTTCATTGCTTGGTGCAAGGAAATAACATCCCTTTTTTCAAAAATGACTTACGATTATAATGTTTTCTATTGCAGGATGGGAGTGGATGAAGAGGAGTTAGATGATAGTGATGATGATGAAACACAAACAATAACAGAAAAACCATCCTGTAGTTCAAGTACATGGACCATAAGTGCCCCAGAAACAAGTACTGCTACAAGTGCTACAGATGTATGTGTTGAGAGTAATTCAAGAGGTAAAATGTCACCTGATCAACCATCAACCAGTGCCGCTCAATTATCCAACACTGCTATAAATATAGATGCGAGTGACACTGCTGCTAGTAATGCAGCTGATCATAACACTGCTGTAAGTACTGATTCAGCAAGTGAGAGCAATTCAAGTGATGAAAATATGGCAGAAATATGTACAACCAAAGAAGGTGGAGTGGTTGGTAAAACAGAGGAGGAAAAATGTGAAAATGAAATCACTGAGAAGAAAAAGGATGAAGAAAATTTCGCAAAGGATGAAACCATGAAGGTAAAAAATGAAAATAAACTCATTTCCTGAAGTATTTTTCTTTTTTCAGAAAAAGATACAAAAAAGTCATTGGGCTACCCATTTCTCCTGTAACCCATCCTTGCAGACAGGTGGGGGCAGCAAGAGTGCTTCTTAAATCTACCACTTTCTTTATTCCCAATTAATTTTTACAAAATGTTACTCATATTAAAAAAATTTTCTTGAAATTATCACTTTTCTAAAAGATCATTGATGGTGTAAATAATAATGAATAAGTTTTAGTGTGTGGTATAGTAATGTGTGTCTTTCTGTCTTCAGCCTTTTAATATTGATGATTACAATACTTCTGAAGAGTTAGAATCTCTTGGACTGGAGGCATTAAAGGAACATTTGAAGACACTGGGTTTAAAGTGTGGAGGTACCCTACAAGAAAGAGCACAAAGGCTTTTCTCAACCAAAGGCAAAGCTTTGGAAGATCTGGACCCTTCTTTATTTGCAAAACCATTGAAAGGAAAGAGTAAACCAAAGAAGAAGTGAACTGTGGGCATGCAGCCATTATATATAGATGAAAATCCTATATGATACCAATTTATCACAATATTTCAAAGGCTTATTTCTATTTTTGAGAAATAAGAAAATAAGTGACAAGGACAGAAAGTTTTAATTTATTTTATTTTGTGGTCAAAAAAACCAATATTGATTTAAAAAGTTTTGAGCAATTCATTAGCAACAGCTAAAATTTTCTTTAAATATCTTTTTTTTGGTTACTATTTCATAAGTTAATTTTCAATGGTATAACTTTGATATCTACACCAACAAAGTGAATTCTTATACTGTCATTACCAGCTCAACTGCTCAAATATAATATATGCAGGACATAACCATGTAATTGAGGTACCTTCATTTTAGTTATATGGAATGACAGTAAATTCCCTTTGAAACAGTTTCACCTTAGTTTACAATTAAATAAAATCTCACTAATATTAATTACTAGTAAACCTTTTTGTAAACTTATCTAGTCTTATCTGTACACTTTTGTTTTTTAACTTTAAATTTGTAATATTTCAGGAGCAGGGTGGGAGTGTAGTTTGGCTTCCACTCAACCAATCAAAAACCAGTATAATGCAAACCATCCAATCACATTACTTGAATCTGGAAGCCACTTCAGAGCCATACTAGCCATGATACTGAGTGTTTCTGACTCCTCATTCTTTGCACACCATATGATATTGATTCTGATGCACCTAATTCAGTCAAATAATAGCTAACACATCTTGAGGAATACACATTTCCTTTTGTTCACTCTTGATAATACAGGGACTTTCTGTTCTCATCCATAATTTACAAGGTCTTTTTCTTGTACACTTGAAGTCCAGCAGGAAGCATACATTAACGTCAGGTCTGTTTATAGCACCACTGTAGTCCAGTTTTCTCTTACTTGATGAAGGGCAAGACTATAGTACCAGAAAGAAAAGGAATTTGTCAATTTCTCTGTGGACATGACACCTGACAATGAATTTTTGTAGGGTTACTAAAGTAAACATGCTCTTTCTAGTGATGGCATGGGTTTTTTTATTTTCAACTTGATTGGCATTTTGGGTGCCATTTTCATGGTAATTTGGGTCTATTCCTCATGAATGGTCTACCTTACCTTATTTGTTTCCATTATTTCTGGAGTAATGTTATCTTGTATTTGTTCAGGGTCACTATCATCCTCTATACAAATACTTGCTTGAAGTGGTAGTGATGTTTTGCTGTTTTCCTTAAGGTCCTGTAAGAACGACAGAAAAAATTTGCACAATATCAGAAAACCAGATTTGTCAGTCCCAGATTAAACCTTTATTTATATTGTCATCTACATCTTTTTATCATAATCGTCAACACCTTTGACAACATAACATATAATAGATGCCCTACTAATTTTAAACATTACCTGAACTTGACTTTGCAAGGTTCTTGCTGCTTTGTGGTTTTGTGGCTTGGACTTGTGGTCCAATGTAGTTGCTGATTTGTCTCTACTACATCTAGTTAAAGAATTTCTTTGAGATGCTTTTCCTGCGCTCCTTTTAACACCTGTTTCCTATTAAGATACTTTGTGTCATTGAAATAGTCATTAAAATCATTTTGGTAAGATGTAAATAATCTTTTTGTAACTACAGGTTAATGTAGAGTCGTTTTAAAATTGTCATGAGGACATACAATAACCCATATACTTACTAACTGACAATCAATATGTTTTCTCAACTTCTGGTTATTACCATCAGGTGCTTCTAAAATTGGGGATACATCAACCTTTGGAAATAAAATACAAAAATCAATAGGAAAGAATTGTGAGCAATGAATGAATATTGCAAAGAAAAGTGAAATGTGTGCAATAAATGAATACTGGAAAGGAAAGTGGGAATGAAATAGTTCCAAACCTCTAGCATTGCAGGTAATTTGGCTTGATCAGTTGGTGTGCTTGTTTTGGGTCCATTGTTATCAGTATTCTCATGTGACACACAGCTGTTTTTTAGTTGTGCCTCAGCATTCTGTGAATAACATAAAACAACAAAATTATGTGTTAGTCAATGTTTTCATGGGCTTCCTGTGTTAAGGTTTGCTTGGGATTCCCAAAGTTATTTGGTGTTTCCTTTTCRTTGAAGTGTTGTTTTTGTGGAGGGAGGAAACAGAAGCACAGAGGAAGACCAACTAGCAGCTCAATTCATGACTATAGTGCCAATGTGTAGTTCCAGACAATATCTATACCCTCTCCTCCCCTCCCCCCAGAGGAATTTGGAATTATCAAGGGATTAGGAGCATTTGGGACTTTGACAAGTTTAATTCACTTTCTTGCATAAAGGTTACATGAGTTACTTCTTATGCTCACTCTTCCATGATCCTATACTATCTCTCGATCTTGYGCCCTCTCCAATCTCGCCCCAGGTTCCCACATGATACCACTACAGGGTTGGGGGGGGGTTAATTTCTGGAACTACACAATMAACTCAAAATGACACCACCACCAAAATGTTTACCTGGATCAGATTATTTTGAAATTCATCAGAATGGGATGTGGTATCCTTCTTCTGCAATTCCTCTTCGTCCATCGATGGAATTTTTTCCCCCTTAATACTAGAAGCATCTTGATCTATTGCAAAAAAGTATGAAGACCTAACATCAACTCCACATGCAGCTTTACCTCATAAGGCAAACAAATCATGATCATAAAGAATAACCGCATTTCCAAAAACCTTCAATCCAGGCAGCATTAGAGATTCCTCGATCAGGAATCTTAGAGTATGGAAAGAGGCAGAGGACTTCTAGAGGACTAATGTAATGGTACTCTGGCTAACAAGTATGTTACCAGTAGATATTTACCTTTAATTGTCGACAAGTGATTTGAGAAGAATTCTTGTACCATAACTTGTTCACCACTTTCATTAAATGTAGAGTTCTTTGGTAACAAAGCTTGTTCATCTACAGATCCCAAAGCCACCAGTTTAGGTTCAAAATTTGGATCATTTGTCAATGTGCTACAGAGTGACATTGACTGGACTGTTAGTGTACCAGAATGGCCTTGCTTGCTTGCACCCCCTGAGCTGGTTGATGTACACGATGACATGGATTTTGCACTGTAGTTTGTCACATTAGAATGTGCGCTACAAGTTTTGTGATTGGTGGAGGATGATTTGAATGTCTTCTCTTGTTTTTCTTTTTCCTTGTGTTGATGTTCCACTTCATTCATATTTTCATTCATTTTTTWAAATTCTTTGGTTTTCTTTATCAGTTCTTTTTTTCTCTTCCTGTTCAAAAAATCATGCATTAAAAATAAAAGAACTAATCTGTTTAAGATATACACATGAAGTCAAAGATAAAGTTCAATTTTAAACAATATAGAGATAGTTTCAAGGATGTCTGGGGTTAGTTGGTGGAAGATGGTGATGCCTTAACAACAGCACAAAGTGATAAGATCAGAGGTAGTGCATAGTAGCCGAAAAAGATCAGAAAGGGGAATTAAATGGGGGAACAAGGAGGGGTGAGTCAAGGTGAAGAACTTTTTGACAAGAGGTAATCAACTGATATACCAAGAAATTGGTGTCTTTGTTGGTTTTCTAAGTGGCCTGAGATCTGTAACAGAATAAAAAAACAATTGATTAACAATAGGATGGTTGCATGACTAAGCACTACCAATATGCTTGGCGAATTGTCTTTCTTATTCAAATTTGTATTCCCTCATAAGAATAGTAAGACAAAAATTAATTGAACAAAAGGAAGCGTGCAAGGGAGTCTGGTAGAAGAGGTCTATGATGCCATTGTGCAAACATCCTATTAAATCGTAAACATTGTTATACTATTCATATATTTCTGTAGACATTGTACTTACAGTGTGTTCAGAGCAGTATTCAGAAAGGCATATTCCCTCAATTTTCATGATTTTGAATGAGTTCAATGCCAAAATAGGTAGCAGCATTGAACATTTCTACTTATCATTCCAATAAATGAAATGTCATACCTTTATCTTGGTACGTCCTTTGAACATCCTTTCTATTTGGTGTGCACTGAGTTCTGCTCAAAGTCTTATCAATCGGAATGTTGCTAATGTTTCGCAGTGCAAGACTGGAGCCCTGTCTTATAGATTTCACATTGTTGCCRAGAGGCTTCGTGAAATTTAGTGGGGTGCCCCACTTATTTGTTATCTTCAAACTGCTTGCATCCAAACTAGAATTAACAATAAAGCATTGTTGTTATTAGTAAGAGATAATCTCTATACCTTGCTCACTGAGAGGGGGGAGGGGAGGAGGAGAGATCTGGCACAAACCTTTGTAATGTTGTTCCTGATGTATATGAACCTCCTTGAGACTCTTGATTACTTTTTTTGCTAATGGTCTCTGTAATTTAATAAAAAGAAAATTGTTTATAAAAAAAGGAAAATTGCACCAATTGCAGTGACAGTTGATCTGCTAATGATGTTTCTGTAAAATGCCAAGCATTTTTTTCTTCCCTTTTACCTCCCTTTCCTTCTGCTGTTTGAAGTTCATCAGGAGTTAACACCTGTGGCGTATCAGGTGTGTGAAAATGGTTCTTCTTTACAATTTGTATTGGTCGTGACTTTGAATAAGTCACTACGGTATTTTTTGCTGGGCCAAACAAGGAGCTTGTCTGGTTTGGCAGATGGCTGAAAAGACCCTTTTTGCTTGATATTCTTGATGATGAAAGTTTCTTAAGATGACCCTGTGCTGTATGGCGTGTCTTCATTGTAAATATTCAAGTCCTAATAAATCATAAGTAGATAAGTTGGATAAAAAATTTATTCACGACTATCAAGTTAACTATTCTGTTTAACCACCACTTTTTCACTTCTCATTTCCCGTTTTACAAAATATTTTGAACAACTTAGAAACCAAATGTCATATTTCTTTCGTTTGCATGATATTTATGCCCTGCTGGTGGAGGTGCGTTTTTAAGACTGAAGTAAATTGATTCGTAGAAGAGATCAAGATAAAATACAACTGGTAAACTGTAAGATAAGTTTTTCAAAACAACCGCCATCGATATCTGCTTTTATAAGCTTAGTTAGTCTCTGATTGTCAACATAGCTTTTCAAACAATAAAAACCTTTAAAATATATGCTAACCAAAGATTCCATATAATCTTGTACAACCATACAGCTAGTCCATCCTCTCGTATACTCTAAATTGGATAAAACTTTTATGATGATGAATAAACTTCGATTTTTGTGGCTCTTTTTTTCGCTTATATTCACGGAAGAGTTTCAAAATTTTGTGAAAGCGCGCACAGGATATTTTACGAATATCTTCCGAATTCCTCCGAACAGAGTCGAATTTGCGCGAACATCGCACGAGTGAGTCACCGCGAATGCGCGCGCGTGCGCATAGTTTTTGGCGGGAAATCTCAAACTATAAAAGCTGCAACGTCCTTGAAAATAAAAGAACCCGGAATTTCCTTACCTATTTGTGAAATATTTTAGACATTTTTACAGCAAAGTATCGACTGCATACTTCATAAAAGGTAATAGAAATGTTTATTAGCACTTTATGAGCATATAATCAAATTTCAATTGATTAAATGGTGAGTGTTTTTCCCTCATGAAAAGCAGACCGACATAAACCTCAAAAGTACTGACAAACCAAGGCTAGTCTTCTATGAATTTATTCGTGTTTAACGTAAAAAAAACAACATATCATTTAATGTAATGCTTATGTTTCTTAAAAGTAAAACGTTTTAAAAGTTTTTGTTTGTGCATAGTTAGTCTACTAACTATGGTTTATGATATGACAACCAAAGTTTCTTTTTCGTTGAAAGGTTCCAATGAATAACGTTTGCTCTCCGTTTCTTCACCCTCAACAAGTCCCTGGCACTCCTTTTTTCGCCAGTGAAGGCCCATCTACTATCTGTTCGCCTGGTTCATGTGTTCCAGATATCGACGACCRCCACAGCAACCCGTTCCTCCCTTACGGAAGTAAGAAAATTGCAAAGTTTTGCATTCATTCGTATATATTACAATAACAACAGCAACA